GTTTGATTTTAAAAGGTTTAGGTATACTGTTTAATTTTAAAAGGTTAAATAGTAAGAACTAAAGAAAAAAACAATAAAAATGAGAAGTTGTTAAGTGAGCCAAATTTCTCATTTTTTATAGTGAGGAGTTAGTAAAGCTGATAAATTAATAAACATATATATAAAAATATTATAGTTGAGACATTATAAACACTAAAAAATAGTCAAAAGCAGTTACTTCTGACAAATGGAGCACAAGATGGGAAGGTGAAATTTTACTTTTCACATATATCTTTCTGTATTGTTTAAATTACTTTTCCATGTATGTTTTACATTTATAATAAAAAACTGATGCTAGTGTCTTATTGTATCGACACAGATTTAGGGCTCAGCAATTTAGAAGACGTTAGAGAAAAGGAATCAAAGGTTGGAAAGTGAAGTCTTTAAGATTACAGGGTACAGGACTAGAGGATGTGAATAAAGAGGGCTAAAAAGTAATTTTATGAAGACAGTTAATGTATTTGCAACAATATCAATAAACATTGAGGGCATTATGCTACCTGTGAAAAAAGTCACACAGAGAAAGACAAATACTGTATGATCTTACTTAAATGTATAATCTTAAAAAAACGAACTTACGGAAATAGGACAGGTTGGTGGTTGCCAGAGTGGTATGTGGGGGGTGGGGGGAATGGGTGAAGGGGATCCAAAAGCACAAACTTCCAGTTATAAGATCCATAAGGTCTGGGCACGGAATGAACAGCATGGTGACTACAGTTAAGTGATACTGTATTGCATATGTGAAAGTTGCTAAGAGAGGAGATCTTAAAAGTTCTCATAACAAGAAAAAAAATCATAACTACTACTACTACTACTACTACTACTACTACTACTACTACGTGAGGTGAGGCGTGTTAACTAACTTACTGTGGTGATCGCTTTGCTACATGTATGTATTATTATATTGTATGCCCTAAACTTATACAATGTTATGTATCAATTATATCTGGATAACCTGGAAAAAAACCCCAAATAAGTCTCTACAAAAACATGGTTATCCCTGGGTGGCGCAGCGGTTTGGCGCCTGCCTTTGGCCCAGGGCGCGATCCTGGAGACCCGGGATCGAGTCCCACGTCGGGCTCCCGGTGCATGGAGCCTGCTTCTCCCTCTGCCTGTGTCTCTGCCTCTCTCTCTCTCTCTCTCTCACTGTATGACTATCATAAATAAATAAAAAAAAATTAAAATCTTTAAAAAAAATAAAATAAAACTGGAAAAAATTATTAAAAAAAAAAACAAAACAAAACATGGTTATCTTGTGATAGACAATGAACCTTTATCCTGAAAGTAAAACAAGTGAAGCTCCAACTGTTGCAGAAAGGACTCCTGCTCCAAGAGTAGAGGGTCTTACAGGGAGACATTGGGGAATCTCATTCCCTATGTATTTTTCAGAGGACAGCAAAAATCTGTCCTTTGATTTCTGGACTAGAATGATCAAGAGGCAGGGCTGTGATCTCTAAAGAGCCTATCGAATTTCATTTATAACATGACTCACAAACTTTATTTCAGAAAAAGAAGGCTACAATTTTTGAAGCTAATAAAATCTTCTCTTGAGGACTACCCTGGAGTATATTAGCTATAAAGGAAAGGCTTTCCTCTTTTATCATCTGCATATCTTCTATTATATTTCTTAACACCCAACTGAAAAATGAAAGGCATAACAGATTCAGGTTATGCCTATAAACATATCATAACCTTTGGTCCTAATGATTTTTAGGGGGTTAACAGGCACTTGCCTTCTTGCTACTACTCTTTTGTTCTTATATTATTTATTTATTAATCTCTAAAAATGCATATTACTGTAGCATATAAGTGTTAATGAAGAAGGTTAAAAATATAAATTATTTAAATCCACCAACTAAGGGAAACAAAATATTAAAAAGAAGGGAAAAAAGAGGTCGATGACTTAATACAAAGCTACTGGGAGGAATCTAATGAATGAATGCATTTTGAATCAAGAAAAAAACTCATTTAAATAACTATAAAGCCATTAGGATATATACTGGGTCAGTAGTTCTGTTTAAAAACCCATACCGTGTAACACCTTCAGAAGGGGAACGTAATGAGATGAGGTATCTAATTTATATCATATAAAAATAACAGACGAGATGGGTGATGGTAACCAGTGAGATGTGGAAAAGATGGGGAAACTGAGGGTCTGGCTCGTGAGCTGTACACTCAGTGAGCAATGGCTCTGAAAAGATAAGTGGACAGTTGTTCATGGGCCTCAAAGGTCTTCCTATTGTATAAAAAGGGCTCTAGGTGCTTGGAAGTAAGTTAATCATCTTGTTTCCCTGTTTCCATCATCTAGTTTGGCTTAGCCCTCTTTAGTAATGCTTTGTGTTGGAATGGAAAGAGCCTTCCATTTTCTTTCATAAAACAAGGACAATGTTCCACAAGGTGTTTTATGTTCAGGACAAAATGAGACAAAATACAGGAAAGTCAAGAAAATAGTATACACTAAATAATTGTTAGTTTTCTCATTCAATGGCAGAGATGGCTACAAGATATGTGCTCTGCTGAGAAGTGGCTGTGCAGCCAGAACTTTGTTTTCTAGTCTTACCAGCATTTGGTTGGTAAACAACTACTTCTCCCCAATCAAATGCCAGTGGAAGGCCAAGACTGTTCAGGAGAACCAGGTATACCTTCTTTTTGTTCTTTCTCCATTTGCCAACTAGATGCGGATGGTGCTAATGAGGCCCTAGAGGATGGTAGAACCCCAAGAAGGAAGATGCCTGGGTTTCTTAGTCACCTGTGAGAGAAGAGCCATCTAATAACCAGGTACACCTATAAGGCCTACTATGTGACTGAGAAATAAACTATTGTGCCGAGATGCTAGAATGCTGAAGCCACTTTCTATTACAGCAGCAAGTGTTATCTTAACCAATGTAAGCATTAAACGTGTCCTATGATAATTACTATCATAATGATGGTAAAGGAGTCAGACATTGCATCAAACAAGCCATCATTAATGCTGTTATGAAATCTTGGCCAAGGAGATAAAGGAAAAATGTTTAATATCATTAGCCACGAGGAAAATGCATATCAAAACTACCACTGCACTCCCACTAGGATGGCTATGAACAAGAAGATAGACAGTAACAAGTACTGGCAAGAATAGGGAGAAATTGGAACCCTCTTGCATTGCTGGGAGGAATGCAAAATGGTACAGCTGCTGCGGAAAAGTCTGGTAGTTCCTCAAAAACCTAAACACAGAGTTACCATAAGACCCAGCAATTCAGGGATCCCTGGGTGGCTCAGCGGTTTGGCGCCTGCCTTTGGCCCAGGGCGCGATCCTGGAGTCCCGGGATCGAGTCCCGCATTGGGCTCCTGGCACAGAGCCTGCTTCTCCCTCTGCCTGTGTCTCTGACTCTCTCTCTCTCTCTATCATGAATAAATAAATAAATAAATTAAAAAAAAAAAAAGACCCAGCAATTCTACTCCCAGGAATATACTCAAGAGGACTGAAAACGTGTATGTTCATACAAAGACTTGCACGGGAATGTTCATTTTAGCCAAGAAGTACAAACAATTCCAATGTTCATCCACTGATGAATGGATAAACAAAATGTGACACATATATTTCCATGTGATAGAATACTATTCAGTCATAAAAAGGAATGAAATGCTGATACATGCTATGACATGAATGAAGCTTGACAAAAGTATATGCTAAATGAAAAAAGCTAAAAGAAGAGATCATGTACTATATGATTTCATGTATAGGAAATGTCCAGAATATGCAAATCCACAGAGACAGAAGGGAGATAACTGGGGGGGGGGGGGTGAGTGGGAACTAGAAGGAAATGGAAAAACTGCTAAGGGTTAGGAGGTGTCCTTTTGGGGGAAAATGTTTGAAAACATCAGATAGTAGAGATGACTGCCCAACTCTGTAAATGCACTAAAAGCCACCGAATTATACATTTAAAAGGGTGAATTGTATGGTATGTGAATCACATTTCAATAATAAAAAAAGAAATCTTGGGGCACCTGGGTGGCTCAGTTGGTTAAGCATCTGCCTTTGGCTTAGGTCATGATGCCAAGGTCCTGAGATCAAGCCCCCATATCGGGCTCCCTGTTCAGTGGGGAGTCGGCTTCTCTCTCTCCCTTGGTCCCTCTGCTGCCCCCCTCCCCCGCTTGTGTTCTTTTTCTCAAATAAATAAATAAAATCTTTAAAAAAATAAAAAGAAATCTCAGCTCTTTGCTTTATCTTGCCTCCCAGAGAATCTGGCTCTACACAAAAAGGCACTGAGCTCTCTTTTAGGTAATGACTGGGAAAAAGTATGATTCTAGGATGCTGGGAATGTTGAATGTTAATTTTGATCTGAGTGAGTTTTACAGGTATAGACACATGTACATACTCATTCTAGTCAAGATCTCAGGCTGGTCAGAACCCACATGATCCTTCTTTCCTGGCTTCCCCCACAAAATGTAAATGCAAACAGAGGCCCAAAGCCATACACATTAAATGACTAGAGACCTAGATACCAAGCTTTCCTTGGTTTATGTAACACTGTAGCTGACACTCAGATGAGATAAATATTTAAAGCTAACTCTGAGAATGAGATGAAGGTGGGGAATGGAGCCCCAGAATAACTAAAGTGTGTACTACATCGGCAAAATTCTGTAAGGAAGAAAAACGTTCTAAAGGGGTGGTGTGGTGTCAAGAACAGGGACCCAAAAGAGAATTATATATGGAAATCTTTCTTTTCCCTGTTCAGGTACATTCCATTTTCAAGAGTCAAGTTCAAACCACCACATAAGGAAAGCTTGTTTGATCACATAAAATAAATTCTCATCAAAGTACTTAATAGTCACAACTGAAGTAAAAGATCATCGGGATTTTTTAACCTCCAAATAAGAATATAATTTGGTGATTCCAAGAGTCTTCATTAGAACCTTCTGAATCCATTGGAAAGACGGTCTTTTAAATTGGAATAAATTCCACAAAAGATGTAACTTACTTGCAGGAGACCTTAGTTCTGTCAGCCACCATGGTCCACTGTTGCTGGTTGGTGGAGACCTCAACATAATAGCTATAGCTTCGATCATCACAGTCCCAAAGTAGTAACCTGAACAAAAGAAAACAGGTAAGAATGTTGTGAGTGTTCTAACTGGTTGATTCCTGAGGCTGTAGGCATAAGGAAATCCTGTCTACTTTACCCCTCCTTCCTGCCTCCTTTGCCCTACCACACTTCCAAGACTGGAGAACGGAAGTGAATCACCAAAAGTATGGTGACAGGAGGTGGAGTCAATCTAGTGAAAGCCATGTCTCTTTAGGAACTTACTTCACCAGTCACCCAATCTCAGGCAGGCTTTGTCCCCTGAGTGGCTAGCTATAGTCTTCAGGTTGGCTTATCTGTGTGAAGATGTCCCCAAATCCTCCTTCCTGATCCATCTCCTGTTAGCTGGGCTGACCAAAGGTAACATCCTTGAGACTACTGTTCATGGAGGAATCTATACTTTCTAACTGGTAATAACTAGTATTCCCCAATGACTTAATTATCATGTTTTAGATGGCCTCTCATTCTTAGCTGACTTTGTGCACAGCTGTGGTACGATGATCTGATTTGGAGACACAAACAAATGTATATTTGTTAGTAAAACTTTTTTGTTATTTAGAGATTGATTATTCTGTTCCTCATATTTTCTTTTTAGCCCAGATAAGAACCTGAGCATTGACTATGTGATTCAATTTACATGAAGCTCAAAAGAGACAAAATTCACCTACAGTGACAGGAATCAGACAGTGGTTACCTCTGGGAGAGGTAAAGCTTATGAAACGGGATGAGGGAACCTTCCAGGACGCTGGAAGTGTGCTGATTCTTACCAAGTTGAGCTATACATGAAAGATATGTATGTGTGTTATTCCTCAATTTTAAAAAATAGAGTATGAAAAAAGAACCTAATCTAATCTACAGGATTAGGCAACAGTCCAGCATTTTGCTTCTGAGACTGCCACAGTGGTGAGAGATGAGAGACCATTGTTTTCTATGATTCCAGCCTCAAAAAAAAAAAAAAAATTATGATTTCAGCCGCAAAAGTCCTTCCCATACAAGATACCCATCTTATTGTTTTACATTCGCTTATGCAGATTTGCTTCCTCCAATAGCCAGAACAGACAGTGAGCTCCCTGAAGGCAGTGCCTATGTCTTATTGATCTTTCTATACCCAGTCCTCGGCATGGTGTCTCACAGAGCCTACACTCAATGAATATTTATTTGTAACAACAGTAAGAATGATGATTATTACTGTCACCGGGACTAACATTTCTTTAATGCTTATACTGTGTACCAGGCCCTATGTTTAGTGTTCTATATACTTTGTCTTATTGACTGAGCCACCCAGGCACCCTGCTATACACTTTATTTTATTAAACCTTCCAAAATCCCCTTAGCAAGCATTATTATTCTCATCAAATTATAGATGGCGAAAGTCAGGCTTACCCCTGTTAAGTAATGTGTCTATGCTCAGTTAGTGCTGGCAGATACAGGGTTTAAACTTGGTGTGATGGCCAAAGCCCATTTCTATTATCCCTCTGCCAAGTGCTTCCTTTACTACCAGTGTATAGACCTGGGTCCCAATTTACAACCTGCAGCCTATCACTCTACAAAAGTAGTTCATATTATTTGCCCTTGATCTTGCAACTACAATCAATAAAAAAGCCCTTTGCACAAGCTCAGTTTAGTGTCAACTATAACGCTATTTTGGGGATTAGAAATGACACTGTGTTCCCCTTTCCCCTTGCCGTTTGTTTCTTATTTTCAAGTGTAATTTTGTTTGCTATCAATGACTAAATCCACACTACATGATTTCTTGGAATTCATCTTTTAAGTGAAGCAGAAACAGGTTCTATCTTAATTCACCTGAACATTCCCCTTAATTCATCTGAGTATTTAATCTATCAAAGTACTCTGAATGAACCAGACAGGATCCCACCCTATTGTTTCTAAGTGTCTATTAATTCTGCTCTCAGTTTATGCCAGTTTGCCTGATAAAAAAGTGAATCATTTCTCTCATTAGTCTTTTTCTTGAATATTATTCTCGTTTCTTAGCACTTTTATGTAGTTAGCCTGTTAATTTACATTTGTGTTGAGTAACTTTTAAAAGTGTAATTTTTGTTTCTATGTTTGTCTAGCTCTTTATAAAGATTATAGAAAGACTGTTGATATTCTCTTTTTTAAAAAAAATTCTACTCCAAACATATGGATTCTGTTCATAGTGTATGTTCCATACATGTTCTGGGCTGAAATAACTTAGAACTCTGCCAGAGTAGATTAAAAACAAGAAAAAGTATCTTCAAGTTAATTAATCATTCTCTTTACTTAAACAGCCCTGGTAACAGGCTTTTTGGGAAACAATGTTGAGGCTATTTCCCCAGTGAGATTTTGGATTATCTGTGGAGAGTCAGGTTTATCGTAATCCCTATCCTTCTGGATAATCATCAGTTAGTGTTTCTACCAGTGTAGCCAAATAAAAATAATCAGGCCCTTCTGGGATAGAATCTAACCAGATCTCATAATATTTCATGGAAAAAGACCACCCCGAGGAGATGGGATATGAAGAAGATAAAAAGGAAGACCAATTATAAGTATCACAGATGCTGCTCTAGTAGAAATTCTTGGAGTGATAGGATAGTAAAAGAATTTTTAAAGTAGTGGATATTTTGTTCCTTAGTAGTTTTTACTCTAAAGTCCTCCAACTTGTTTTAAGACAGATTTTTATTTATTTTTTTATTTTATTATTCATTCATTTTTAAAATTTTATTTATTTATTCACAAGAGGCACAGACACAGGCAAGAGGGAGAAGCAGGCTCCACGCAGGAAGCCTGACCTGGGACTCGACCCCAGGTCTCCAAGATCACGCCCTGGGCTGAAGGTGGCGCTAAACCACTGAGCCACCCGGGCTGCCCCTTCATTTATTTATTTGACAGAGAGAGTCCAAGAGCACAAGCAAGGTGAATGGCAGAGGGAGAAGGAGAAGCAGGCTCCTCGCTGAGCAAGGAGACTAATGTGGGCCTTGATCCCAGGACCCTGAGATCATGACCTAAGTCAAAGGCCAATGCTCAACTGACTGAGCCACCCAGGCGGCCTCAGATTTTTATTTTAAAATGAAGATCAACAGTAATTCCAGTAATTATGTAAACACATATACACTATGCAAATTATTTGCAACTTGCTTCTTTCACTTAATTATTTATTATGAATACCTTTCTTTTGTATCTATAAGATTTTCTTCCTCGTCTTATGTATTGGCTTCACAGAATTTCATCTTATGGATGCCCCATAATGTATTTAATCAGTTTCTTATTACTGGACACTTAAGTAGTTGGTAATATTACAGTCTTAGGAAAACTCTGTGATTAACATTCTTAAGCTAAAATCTATGACTACTGCCTGTGAAAGTTTCTGTAAGTGAAACTCCTGGAGCAGAGTAGATGAAACCTTGATATGTATTACAAAACATCTACACATTTCTACCCCCAAACAAGAGTCTGTACCAGTTTATACTCAGACTACCAGCGGTATAAAACAAATGCATTTTTTTCTGTGCACCATCACTGATATTGTGTATTATCTTCAAAAATACTGCCAGTTTGATAGATGAAATCTGTCATTACATTCATTTGCAGTTTTTATCATTGAACTTGAACATTTTGCAGATTTTCTACTTATATTTATCCTTCTATTAATGACTTACAAGATGCCCTCTATTTGAAGGATATTAATCTACTGCCTATCATAGTTTGCATGCTGAAGATACTAATTTTTATTAGCTTAGTCTATCGATCTTTACTTCAATAATTTCTCCCAGCCTAAATTCTTTTTTTCTGAAGAGCAGCCAAATGCACATACTGGTTGAGACATCTCCTTTCTATTCCTTTATTATGGGTCCCTGGGGGCTGGAAATGTGGGGTCATGGTGACTCCTGAGTGGAAAAGGGATACTGATGGATCTCCGGTTATCAAGCTACCTACATTTTGTGGAGTTTTTAGGAGAGATTCTGATTCATGTGCCCGGATGAATATTTGCTCGGAATTTAGGCTTAGTCAGGAATGAAAATCCCTTTGTTGATTCAACTGAAAAAAGCAAGCACAGTCTGAGGACACTAAAGGAAAAATTAGCTCACTCTCTTTTTTTTCCATGGAGAGGGATTTTGTTCTAATAAAGGCACAACTGAAAAACCCACCAAGTCCCTCACTTCCTTTCTTGCCAGCAGTCTGTGCACCTGCAACTGCATAGAGGTGCTACTGATTTATTATCTGCTGAGGAATGTTTGCCCAGTGAGCTTGCCTAGGACAGACACACTCCCTCTGACCTTAAGAGGGATCCTTTTAAACGTATCCCCCTCCATCTGACACATCTGGAGTGGTTTCCAGAAGGGGCTGAATAAAGGAAGCCACTACTGGCCAGGATCTATTGATGCAGATCAGATCTGTATTTATTTGCTGCTACAAATCCCTCTCCTTAATGAGCACTGCATGAAACGCCTGGTGATATTACACGTCGTCTCCTCCATCTTCCTTCCATCTCATCGTGGAGTTTCCCTTAAAAGCAGTGAAGTGCTGGGCTTTTTAAAATTGATTAACAGATGTGATTTTGCTTACATCTTCCATAAATGCTCTGGCTGGCTGCATACCATTGATTACTGGGGTCCAGTTTACAGCAACTAATTGCTCTCCTTGCTGGTGTTTTGATACAAAATTCAATAGTGAATATGTTTTCAAAACTCTTGTCTTTGTGGCTTGAGTCAGGAGTGACTTGAGGCAAACCCAGTGGACTGAGTTTTCCCTTTTTAAAAATAATTGCTCTCTCATCAGTCTGTGAAGAAAGTTTCCAAATTGTAGCATTCTAATTGGAAAGTCTGCATTATGCATGCGATGACAAACTATGTTGTGCTGAATGGCATTTTTTTCATCCCTTTCTTAAGGGATTAATTCTGTGCCAGAATGTGAAGAGTGCTGAGGTTTAAACAGTTGAGATCAACAGCTTCTCCATTGAATTGATGTCTTTTAGGTCGGTGGAAAGTATCTGTTTTGCCTATTTCTAACTGTCCGTTGTTCACGGGAGA